AAAAAAAAACAGAATATGAGGTGCTGTGCTGTTTGCAAAAGAAAGGATAGTGAACGACAAGCAACATTTTTCAATTTACCCAAGGAAGAGAAGATGTACCAAGTTAGGACCGAATCGGATACTCCCTTCGAGAGTTATCGTGCGCACCAGCCAGCCAGCCAGACAGACGGACGGACGGACATCGCTAGATCGACTCCAAATGTCCTGAAACGGATTTGGTTCAAAGAGACTTAGGGTCTAAAACCGTTATTTCGGCTAGGCACGTTTTGACCGTATCAAATGATATATACCCTCTTTAGCCATATGGCTGAGGGTATAAAAACATTAAGTTCGGCCGGGCCGAGCTTTGAATAACCTCCACCATTACCTAAGAAAACATTTTTATACAAAAGTATCTGGATTCAAACATGTTCCACTTTAAACTACAAATACGACTGAGATCGGTAGGAGAATGCAGTTAAAGATTTCAAATACCAATAAAGTGTGTGGAACCGTTACATTGGAGTCATACCAAAACATGAACCTATATAGACATATTTATACTAAGTGGATTTCTATCTACTGCAAGTTTTAAATACCAAATTTGAAACAATTCCGTGGGTAAATGTGACTAAGATCATTAAAATACAGTGGGGACCTTTATATTGTACACAATTCCGATAGATCCACCGTAGTTACACACAGGTTTAAATTCACAAGTTCCACGCATATATGTACATTTATTATTTACTCACTTTTAATGGCAAAGCATCAACCCTAATTCTAATACAAAAGGATAACTTGGAATCTTTACACATTTCTTAAAAACCTATATCTAATCATGGTACAATGAAGAGAAGGTAGGTCAACTTTGAAAAAATTGAAAGTATAGAGGTCTACCTGTTTGGCTTGTAATGTCAGAATTACTATCAAAACAATAAAAAAGCAAACAACTTGTTGCATTGGTTTTGAATAAATAATTTAAAACCGCGAAAACTGAATGAATGGTCAAAATTTCTTTTCAATATCATGTTCTATATATCTCTTATGGTTTATTTCGCGACAAAAACTGTAGATTTTGTCGATGCATTCGTTACAATAAGCATTTTGAAAACACCCGAATTTGAATATTTTCTGAACAATTTTTTATTATTGAAAAGAAGACACACACATAAGCAAATGAAATTGACATATTAGGCCAGAAAAATAAAAAAATTTAAATCATATGGTAGTTCTGCCCTACCTTGAATTCATTGTACCATGTATCTAATGCTACAAGGAGAATTATTTATTTTATTAAGAGAATACAAAATAAGTGATAACATTACATATATTTCGTATTTTCGCACTGGATTCTGGATGTCGTGAGGGAGGAACCGGAAGGAGTGGGACGACATTGCCCATCTCCGCATTATGTTTGTTAATAATATTGCGATGCACTATGTTTGGATGATGATCCATTCTACAGCTATCGTACGCACCAGCAAGACAGACGGACGGGTCGCCTCCAAATGTCCTGAAACGGATTTCGTCGAAAGAGGCGTTATTTCGATCAGATACATTTTGGTCATATGAAATTATACAGACCTTCTCTAGCGATATGACTGATGGTATAATACGTATACACTTCCAGTTATTGTAGTATTTTCAGTTTATATGTTAAAAATATACTAATCTCAACTAATATATACATATGAATAAACCAAAACAAACTTATTCAATGTTTCAGAATGAAGAGTTCTGATTGGTGCAAACCAATTTGCCCCAAATTTTATACTTCAAATAAATTCGCCCTGGTTAAAACTTTGATATATCAAGTTTCTAAAAAAGTTGCTTTGTTGTAATTTTCGCCTATGTTGCTACCTGGTATTTCTACCATGGGCTGGGCCATGGCGAATTGATTTGAAGTACAAAATTTGGGGCAAATTATTTTTCCAATCAAAATATTGAATTAAAATTTTTCAAAATTGTTGTTTTTTCTATTACAAAAGCAAATATTCAAAACTTCCAACATCGATTGAAAGTAATGCTGAAGCCGCTGCATCTTGGTTTGATTATAGCACGTTCAATACAACATTTTTGAAAATCACAGAGACTGGAAATGGAGTGATCGTAGTCTCCAGCGCGAAGGACATTTGCGATAATAGATGTCCAATCGTTGTTATCTCTTCATCATCCTTATACAGAATGCAATCTTGGTAACGTTGGCAACGTTGATTTCATATTCAACAGCGATAATGTACTTTACTAGAAAATATCCGGAAAATTATTTTTGATGCTTTAAAATTAGGTTTTGTGGTGGTACTTTTTTTCTTTTGGTACATCGTCAGCTTTCTCGCTGTAGTGACATGCTACCTAAAAGGTACTTTAGGGTGTATTTACTCCTCAGGCTTACTTAAGATTTGGATCAAAGATTTCAGAAGATACAGGGGGCTGAGTCTACTGTGAGTCCACGCATATTATTTGCTTAGCTATGAAATGTATAGCAGACAGGAAGTCTTTTATGTATAGATAACTTTAATACATTCGAACAATTTGAAATATCTCAATATTTAATCACACCCCAAAAATTGCCAATGTTTTGTTCCCCAAACCAATCCAATATGCTTTGAAATCATTCACCTTTCACTGTTGAAGCCCTATAGTGTGTAACATAGTTGAAAATCCGTACAAATAAGATGATGAAATTCCATGTATCGGTTTATCTCCTATATGAAATTGATTCCCTGCTTCACTTATTTCAAATATCCACGAATTTTAGATCTCCATATTACCTATGCCTACCATATGTTGAATATACACTTTTTCCCTCATACTCTATAAAAACGTAAAATCTCTATTTTCTATCAATAGCATTGTTAAGGTTTGAAATCATGCAACAATTTTCTTATGTGTAAATGAAGGCGAATTCAAATTACAACAATTTTTTGACATATCAAATTGATACCAGCTGGCCTGAAAGGGTTACCATGGGCTGGGCCATGGCCCAATTATAAGGTCGACAAATAAGCCCAGCTGATACCTACATTTTCTGTCAGCATATTTTGAATTCGCCTAACAACTACAATAGACGTCAAAATTATATTCCAATTATTTTAAAAATGACCAGAAATATTTCTAAACATAAGTATTTGAATTTAAATGCCAATGTCGAGTCCTAAGCAACGAAAGATACGAAAGGAAGATCAAAGGAAGAAATCTCAAATCTCTGCCGCTTTGTCTCGCTGTTCCAGCAGCTTGTTGCTGAACAGGAATATGTTGCCGAAAAGAGTGCTTCACTCAAACATCCCGCTATCTGAATAGCATTGTCATCTTGACCATATTAATGATTATCATGTTTACATGGGTAACCAGCAATTCCAATTCTTGACCCTACTGATGGCATGGATCATGGTAAATTACACAACTTTGGTGAATACTTATACATGCAACAGTCAGAAGGCCTGGCGGGGAGCTCCATCTCCTCTACTCAAGGTAATGCCTATTAAATTGTCACATCTATGGATTTGGATTACGTTGGTGGTTTTATCGACGATTTTGACGATGTTATAAAAACATTTAACATGCGCAAAATTAAATATATTGTTAATTGATACATTCGATGTGTGGTGAATGATTTTTACTACTAACATTTGTAACACGATGTCATGATAAGGTGCAGATAGAAATCAGAGTGATTTTTTACAAGGAATAACAAGATTAATAATGTAACTCCAAAAGGGATGGATCGGGAGGCATGTAATACATACTGCCGCCTTCAAACTTTCGTGAGAGCCTTAAATCTCTCAATGATTTAAACGCCTACTATCACTAACTTTTTACAAATATTTGTCCTGTATTATGCCGCTTTGCCAATCTTGAAATCAATATTCGAGAGCTTTAAATTCGTAAGAGGCGTGAGAAATAGATCGAAATAGAGAAATATATACAGTTTTGAAATCTTTACAATCACACGGTCTCAGAATTTCAAGGGCATAGTGATGCCAATATTTTCATCAACTGCTTTCAAAACAATGAGATAAAAATGATGCTTGCGGGAGTTTGAAGGTCTTAGGAGGTGCAAGATTCCACAGGAAACAATTATAATCGCGTATTTAGGGCATGTAGTATAGACAATTTTGGCTTAGGCTGGAAATACATAAAGCGCATATTTGGCTGGCTTAAGTCATCGGCTGGCTTCTTCGTAAATGAACAAAGGAGTTTTAGGTTAACCTAGTTCGATTTTGGCCCTAGGCTCCTTTGTTCATTTCCGAAGAAGCCAGCCAAATAAGCGCTTTATGTATTCTCAGCTTTATTCCTCTTTTTTAAAATTTCACACAAAATTCTTATTGTCAGTATTGACAAAACACGAATACGCTGAATTATTTTTATGTCCAGGCGAATATATATATATTTTTTTTGCCCCAACAACAAATTTTAAAAATATATGTAGCTGAAGAGTTGTATTTTTGGGGAATTCGCCTTCTGGACGACCTTATAATTGGGCCATGGGCTGGGCTTACTTGTCGACCTGATAATTGGACCATGGTTTTACAGAAAACGTCCCTTATTTTAAAAATATATGCACATGATGTATGGAGTTCAAATTTGGTTTCAGATTGATATGGCTACAAAGATTTAAGATAAGGATTTTAGACCCGATGACTTTTTGGATGAAATCCGTTTGTGGCAACTTATGTTTGGTCTATGCCAAGATGAATGGTGTAGAGATTTTTTTATGTAAACGTGTACGTATCAGTGGCCGCGTAGATAGTACCATCTTCTGCTGTTGTGGTCTTCGAATTCCCCTATAAGGGATGGAAATAAACGCCACACATTTCTTATAAACATATAAATATTCACTTAATCATACGTACATGTAGAACATTTTGATTGTTTTTGTAAATTCTTTTATTTTTTATTTTCTACGAAAATCAATGCAAGTGCAAATCTCGATTGAGAATCTAGGCTAGATGCGAGAACATCATTCGGCCAGACAAAAAAAATCGCGCATTTCTTATTTAGAAGTTACAAATATTTGACTGGCATTTTTCACCCAATTTGTGGTGGAGATACTTATGTTTGCGTGTACATGTTTATTTCGTTAGTACTTATTGTTAGATAAATGTACTTTTTTGGGAAAGTTAGTATTCAGTCAGCCAGTCAGTCTGTCATCCCAACCAGCCGGCCGGTATGGTTGCTTGTGTGGATGACAGTGCTATCGCTGAATCTGAACGAAATTGCATTCCAAAGATGTAACAGCAATTCGACGAGATTTTCAAATCGTTTTGTATAAAAACGATACATTTGTTGGGAAACACCATCACTCATCTGCCACAGTTCGACGTTGGAAAAGGCATAGCATCATAGTTTGAGTCTACGTGAATCGTGTTGCCACTGAGTATTCAAGGAACTGGAGGATTCTGAGCTTATCGAAGGCTCTCTAAACTAGAGAAGGCAATATGAAGAGGTTTTCAGTCCTGTGCGTCTTGCTCCTTGCGGTGGTTGGCGCACCTGCAACCCATGTGAATATTTCGATTTCCCAACAACAGGCAAAAAGTTCAGCCCACTCTGCATCTACGCCAATTATAGCAGATCATTCGAAACTGAAGTCCGAATCAGGCGAAGTCTTTTCGAGTGAAGGACGAAGTGCGAGAATTCAAATTGAAAACAAGGATGAATCGAAATCACACTTTGCCAATCACCGAACAGACGGTTCCGAAATAGGCGGACATAGTAACCATCGTAGTTTCGTACAGTCGGGACATTATGTTGCAGAGCCCGAATTCCAGTTCAAGGGAATGTACCAATCCAGTCCGATTGAATACCAGCGCAATGCTCAGTTTCGGCGAATGGATGAACAGCAAAAACAGAATATGGAATTTGAACGTTATATTCAGAACTTCCACAGTGGCCCAACGGTTGAAACGGTGAGTTTTGGAAACTAACGAAATCGTAATATTTTTTTTTTAAATTTATGTTTTGAATTTCCTAGGTATTCGAATCGGCGGATGCCATGCCCTCCTCCCATGCCACCTCATCGCGTGTTAGTAGCGAGGGATCTCAAATGCAGCGCAGTGGTAAAATTGTCCAGTTTGAACGTCAGGTTGCATTGCCGGCTCCGGTTACAGAAACCGAGAAGCAACAGCATTCGCAACAAAGTACTCAGCATGCCTCGTCGGTAGGGACATCCACCGCCTCGGCTAAGACAACGACATCGAACTCAGGCGTGCCCAGTGTATCTGTAAGCACGGCAGGTGGCTCCAGCCTCAACATTAACATCAATCAAAGACCAGCCTCGGTGGGCAGTGATGGATTGAACTTCGATCAGTCGAATAGCTACAACAAACCAAACTACAATGACGCCAACAACTTCAAATATCATAACGACGGTTCTTCAGATAGTCACTTCCACAATCAGTATCCCCCTTCGGTGGAAGAACCCCAAGGTGGCTATGGGGGTTATTTTCAGCCTTCGAGCCATAATGCTGGCGGTCAAGAAACTCAGTTCTACAATGGCAATGGCGGTTATGACCATTCACAACTGGGTGGTCAGGGTTATCTGCCACCGGAAACGGTTAATCAACGACCTGTCGTGACCAAGACCATTCAAATCGCCCAGCCTGCTATCAAAACGAAGAAATACGAAGTGCGTCATCCAGCCATCCAAAAGGAATTTTACGACATTGAGGAACGGGTTGTCATAAAACCGGCCGGAACCGTGGTTGTAGAACTGGAAAGACCTGTTGCGAAGATACCGAAAGGGGAATCGATCCTACCCTTGGGTCATCCCCATCCTGCAGTGGCCAATGCATATATGAACAATGGCAACACGCCTGCCTTCAGCAACATAATTTACAGTGCTGCTGGATCATCTAATCAGGGCAACCAGGCCAACAATCAATACCCCCATGGCTACAATTCCAAGCAGTCAAATGATCGTTCCACAATTAGTGGGTCTACTATTGCCTCGTCCATCACTTCAACGCCATCGTTCGATCAGGGTACCAAAGTCATGGCGGTCGAAGCCAATCTAAATAAACAGTACAATGGGGAGAACCATTATTCCGCAACTGCCGCACCCGTCACAGAAGACCCCAAACTTCGCAGCCGAGAAGTGATTGTAGTCACCGATGGACAGGGTAATCAACGCCAGGTGTCGTCCGATCGGTTCCCCTATTCCCAAACAAGATCAGGATACAATTTACGTTCCTATTCCAACCAAAATGTGGCGCCCCAACGGCCAAGCAATGTCCAGTCAACTTCGTCCAACCGCGAGCCATACAACTTCGATGCCGAATACGTTAATATCGGTGCAAATGGCAACATAGCCAGAGACTCCAAACCGGCCCGTTTGGAAGAAGCCCCCATACGAATGGAACCGGTAATAAAACATGGACATAGCATCGCTTTGCCTGCTAGCCAGCATAAAATTTACCTCACACAAAAGTACGCAGTGCCGCAAACTCAATATGTCGAGGAAAACGCCCATGTTCAGGAGGTGACTCCGCACCACTTAATCAACCGCAAAGGACCAGTTGTGGTATATGCAACTAGTAAACATAGACCAGAAGTTTCATTCAGACAAAGCGGCTCGGCGGCGGACTATCAACCCCATACAATAACTGCTGGCTATCGTTCCTCAAGTGCTGTGGCCGAAAAATCCGTCGGCAGTAGTCGTTTGGAAATCAGTGCTCCGTATGCCCAAATGCGTTACAACTCCGATGAACGCAGCACGATTAACAACTATGCAGCGAATCAAAATTTAGGCAACGACCGGGAAAACCGTAAATTCGGTCGGCTTATTACGGAGGAAAAGAACGCCAAAGAGGGGAGCTCAATCTCCAATGCCAGTGGTGGTATGAATACAACTCGTATGGAAGGACCACAAACCCACATTGAGATTAATATCCCGGAATCTTCACAAAGTTCGAACAAACCTATCACCGTAAGTTCCACCATCAGACCCATGATGTCCGACGATGGCAAAGCCACCCACAACGCAAAGTTAGAAATTTCAGTTACAAACAATGGGGAACCGAAAAAAGATGATATGCCGCTGGCTGAGGACATCAGTTCCAAAGAAATACGTGACAGGGAATACGTGACCAGCTCCCAGGACAGCGTCGATTGTGATAAAACAACAAAAATGGACTCGAAACAAGCGGATCACAAATTCATGCGGCTCGTTGAGGCTCCCAGTGAATCCCACGATTCATCTTCCGAAACCAGTTCATCCTCTTCGACGCATCAACCCACCAATGTAGATGTTACCAATAAAGGGTCATCCGGTCATGTTATTTCATCTGGGCACTCGGGTCATGCTGCCACGCCCGGATCTCGAGTCATTGCTGCAACACCAGCACCTAGAGATTCTACAGCTGGCAGTGAAAGTTTCCACAAACGTCGGATCGTAGTTAACCATCCATTCCAGACCGTGCGCGAGGTTGTTGAGCATGAACCCTATACCAATTATCACGAAGTCCAGGTAAGTGAACCTGCCTCGCCAGCCCTGTACCACTCAGCTGCGTATTTCCGCAGCCACGGTGCTCTGCGCCAAGCTCCGACCGAGGAACGTCACATCGGAACACCGATTTTCTACAACTGATGATTCCAGAGAACTCCGGCTAGTGGGCTAACCTTGACATCATCCGACAAATGTGTACATACCAATTATTAACGTCTATCTTACGCATGTCCTGCGACTATATGGTGGTGGTTGGGTACGATTAAGTTTAAGCATTATTTCTTGTATACCGTCACAATAAAGACAACAACAATGAAAAAAATATTAACAGCCTATTTTTGTAACTATATTTTTGCCAATCGTTCGCAAATTTGTTGACTGAAAACCATTTTTGAGTTTTTGAAGCAAATGTTTTATATCAGTGACACACATACACACGAAAGCTCTTACCGCCTGTTTTTGTAAAAAAGTTGCTTTCACTCGAATCGTTCGTGTTCAAACGTATTCGTTTTAATTTGTTTTTTTTTTTTTTTAAATATTTTGGAAGCTCTCGTCCATTCTCGAAAAGCTTTGATATGTCAGTGTTTCCATAACTATTATTTTTTTAAATTTTTTTTATTTAATTTCAGTAGGAGTTGTGCTGGTTGTGGCAAACCCAATAAATTCAAAATTTATCAAAAATTGTAAAATAAAATTGAAAAATGTCGAGAAAACATTTCAAGAATATGGACCAGCAAGATGCGCCAGCAAAATCTTGATGTGTTAAAATAGTTCTTAAGTTAGTTCCCTATCATATTTTGTCCGTCCGTCCGTCTTTCAAAGAGAGATCTGACATACATATGTGAAAGACTGAACCCCTATCTCACGGAGCTTGCCGCATACTACCACGCGAGGAATATGAAAACAAGTAAAAAAACATTAAGTTCAGCCGGGCCGAACTTTTAATACCCTCCACCTTAGGGTAATGAAAACACTAGAACCAATTATGACCCACAAATACCAATTTTTAGACATATTCGTGGGAAAATTTGGCAAAAATCATCGAAATAGCGAATATCGGGAGGTACCACTATATAGGGCTATACAAAAGCGTGGACCTATACATACAATATTTCGCCAACGGAGCTAGAACTCATTATGACCAACAAATTCCAATTTTTAGACAAATCCGTGATAAAATGTGACAAAAACCATCAAAATACCGAATATCGGAAGATACCGTTATATGGAGGCTATACCAAAGCGTGGACCTATACATACAATGTTTCGGTGCACGAACTAGGACCCATTATGACCTACAAATACCATTTTCAGACAAATCCGTGAAAAAATGTGGTAAAAATCATCAAAATACCGAATATCGGGAGGTACCGTTATATGGGGGCTATACCAAAACGTGGACCTATACATGCAAAGTTTCGCCACCGGAGCTAGAACCCATTATGACTAACAAATACCAATTTTTAGACAAATCCATGAAAAAATGTGGCAAAAATCATGAAAATACCGAATATGGGGAGGTACCGTTATATGGGGGCTATACCAAAACGTGGACCTATACATACAACGTTTCGCCGCACGAACTAGGACCCATTATGACCTACAAATACCAATTTTCAGACAAATCCTTGAAAAAGTGTTGCAAAAATCATCAAAATACCGAATAGCGGGATGTACCTTTATATGGGGACTATACCAAAACGTGGACCGATATATCTCATTTTCAATACCAACCATCCCAGACACAATTCAAATTATTATGCTAAATTTTGACGCTCTACGTCAAATAATGTGGGCTGTATCGTGATTTCAACAGACAGACGGACATCGTTAAATCGTCTTAGAATTTTATGCTGATTATGAAAATATGTACATTATGGGGTCTACGACGAATATTTAGGGATGTTACAAACGGAATGACAAAGTTAATATACCCTCCTTTCCAAGGTGGAGGGTATAATAATATCTTTACCACACGGTCTGCGGAGATGAGAATGTGCAGGTCGAGGGGAATCGAATACCGACTAAAGGGCTGCAAGTGTGACATATTTCTCAATTTATGCCATGGAGAGGAAACGCTCGTCATGCTGTGCCCTGTTTGATCAAACGCATAACAGTACGTGACATCCAACCAAACGCTCGATGTCTCGTCATGTCGGTCAGACTCAAACCCATCGTCATAACATGTAATGACCAATAAAAGGGGATGTTGAATAGTGTGTCATACAAAAATGTTCTACCACAAAAATTACAACAATAATGAAACAATTGCCAACGAAAAAGACACACACGTAATGAAGGCAAATGCGCAATCGCTACCTGTTTTTCCGATATGAGAAAAAAACATTTTTCGTATTTATTGGCGAATAATAACATATTTCAGGTACTTCTAATTGGTCCACACAAAATTTTCACATTTCGGCTATTGACGAAACAATCCAAAATGACAATCCTTATTAAAAAAACACTGATAAATTTTCTTAATATCTCTGCCCTCAACTACGTCATAACGAATATTTTTTAATTATTGATTTCGTACTCACTTTTATATGTATACCGTGTTTGTTACTTCATAATTACAGCACACACAAAAACACATCCTCACCGTCGAAAGTAACACACACACTCTCTCAAATTAAGCACACGTACACAAATGACACACAATTTGACGATGACATGGTTCGATGTCATCGTCGACACCCTGCATTGATGGAGAACACCATGCAAATATTCGAGTCAGTCATGTCACGATCGAATCTTAGACAATGGCACACATTAATCAAAATGGGGGATGTTGTTGGTTGTCATTGTCTATCAAATACATTGCACATGATTGAATAGACAAAGTCAGTGTGTCAAAAAAGGCATAATTCATACAATTCGTCTTGTGCAGGCCTTTAATACCGACCACGAACTACCCCAAGATTCTAGGGGTCACGTTCGACAGCATGTTCAAGTCATCCGCGCAAGCCACAGCTATCTGCGACAAGATGAAAAGTAGGAACAAGGTTCTCATGGCGCTAGTCGGCAGCACTTGGGGTACGCTCAAAGAAACCTTGTTGACCTCTTATAACACGATAGGTCGGTCTGTGGTCAGCTATGCGGCTCCAGTGTGGTCTGCTAATACTAGTCCTACGCAGTGGAAGCATACCCAGATCTGCCAGAACGCTGTCCTGAGAACTGCGACAGGGTGCCTTTCTTATGACACCAGTGGACCATCTACAGGAAGAGGCAAAAGTCCTCAGAGTCATCCCAACCATCATATGGTGGATAAGTCTCCCCCACCCAGGCGTGTCAGGAAGGAATACATGGTCTAGAGAGGGAGGTTCAGCGCTACAAGAGAGAACCTCTAGATCAAGAAGCCTATCAGACAGGTCGGAGTGAAATTCATACCGATGCAGTCACAGATGCTAGGGTATTTTTGGCACAATTACGTTCAGGATGGTGTAGTCGTCTCAATTCGTATTGGGCACGAATTGATGAAGATGTGCGTGACGCCTGCCCGGCGTGCGATGCAGGCCCGCACAATACGCACAGCCAAACCTACCCAACTCTACAGCCCATTAAGCCTGATTCTATTTTTCACCTATAGGCTTTAATTTGAGTGTAAAACCCCATATGATAAAAAAGATCTATGATAGCCCCAAGTGAAAACAACATTTCCATTCAAATGAGCTGTAGTTTGGAATTTATATTCCCTACGTACAGAATACCGTATTTCCAACGTATAGAATACCTAAATACGTGGTATTTAGTTTTGCCATAATTGAGGCCAGAATGATTCAGAATTGTCAACGATAATTACTCTTTTACACCCATTAACGTATGAATGGAATTAATTTTAGGCTATGCGAGCTATGCGAATGTGACTCCTAAAAGAGAGGCAGAGAAGTTTCCCCATTGATCTCGAGTGAGAGGCCAATTAATGTAATTAATTGGAATGCTGGGGAAGGGGGGACAATGTATCGAACATATACCTTGACGTAACCAAAGTATCGAACTTATACACGATGTGTTACATTACATCTTTGTTTCTTTCTGGTCCCAACCCAACTGGGCGAACATAGCAATTCGACTCAGATTGTCGAGAAACCAACATTTCTAGTACTTAAAAATTTCTGTACCAAATCATATAATACATCTTCACAGATTATGTTGTCGTTAAAAATAAATTTTTGCTAATTGAAAAAAAGCAGTAAAGAAAGTCTTTAAGTCGGGCGGGGCCGACTTTATGATACCCTACACCACTTTGCATATTTAGTAGAGCTTCACATAACAAATACAAGTTTTTATGGGAAATTTGGGAGAATTAAACCATACCAACTATGATTATAGTTATAATTTATCGTCCAAAGGAACTAATATATGAGAGGAATATCGTTCCCTGAATCGATTTCTACTAAATTTTCCGCCCATCTCTACGTCTGTCCATGTTAATTTGTAATCACGCTATAGGTCGCAATTATGGCCCGATTCTCACAAAATTCAAAATGGACATGGGGTTTGGGTCAGAGTAGAAGCCTATTGCTTTTGGAGATTATCGCATAATATTTAGGGGTTGAAATGGACCAAAAACTGAAAAATTTCCTGATTTTGCAGTTGCTTTACAGGTCGCAATTAAAGACAAATCGACGCGAAAATTAGCATGGGGCTGGGCAGAAGCCTTTCAATTTGGATGGACATCGGTAATATTTAGAGGGTGAAATAGACCATAACATTTGTGTTAAATAAAAGTTAAATTTTCCATTAAACTATGAATATTTTTAATCCCGACAAAATCACAAATAGACGAAAAGGTCAATTCTGACCGTTACGTAGATGGCAATAGTAAATGTATCGGATATATTTAGCGAAATATCAAATATGTGTATATACAAAGGAAGGAGATGTTAGCTAGAATGCTTATATCTCAAGAATGGCTGGACCGATTTTGACAAATTTTGTCAATTCAGAAGCATATTCAATAATAGAACAAAATCTAAAAAAAAACGCATAAAAAGATGCCAATAATGATGTTTATATAGATTTTGTAGTATTTTGCGATATTTTTTATTTTTTTTTCACATTTTTTAACGCATGCGATTTTTTCAATTTGACTTATAATATTAAAGTGAACATTTTGTAATATTTTTTCACCGTTCAACACAGATTGGAGTTATTATATACAGATTGCAATCATCGTCCGATCCTCACGAACATTTTAATAAGGGCCGGGTTAGGCTCAGTAGGTCTAGGACTATTGTTTTTAAAGATGTCCACAATACATTTAGGGGTTGAAATGGAGCAATAGAAACCAAAGGACACGAAATCTCGCATGAAGTTAGAGTTTGGGACAACGAGTAGGATGTAAAAAATGTCTGAAAAAAATACCAAAATTTCCATTCTACCGAAATATCGCACAATATTTAGAGGTTCAAATGAAGGAACAACAGAAAAATTTGCTTGATCACACAATTGAAACCAATCGACACGTCATTTTGCGTGAGAAGAGAATTACGGACAGGGAAGAAGTCTAGCATTTTGAATGACCATTGGATTATATTTAGCTGTAAAATGGACCACAACAACTGACAGCACGACGGAGTGCGTAAATATTGGGCAAATGTCCCTGGTCAAAAAGCCAAGGGTAATATCTGGGCTATGCTCTATGACATAATTTCAAAAGCGAAATTTAAGTTTAACATTCTCCTCTCCCTTCTAGACTAGTCATTTTAAATCGACTCGATTTCTAAATCCAAAAATTGAAATCCTACTTGATTAGGATAGTTTAAAATGATATAAAATGTCAGTCAGCTGATTTTTGTTTATGTAAACATATGCGGTTTTATACCCTACAACACATAGTGGTAAGGGTATAATGACTTTGTGCAGAACAGGGAGAAGGAAGCGAGATAGACCCATAGTTACTTTTGAGGATATTCATAGAATCACTTTCTGAGTCGATTTATGCATGTCCGTTCGTCCATGTATTCTTGTGAACAAAATGCAGGTCGCATTTAGTATCCGATTGAGATGAAATTTTGTAAACAATATTTGTTTGGCCCAAGGACGAACCCTATTAAAACTGGTGATAATCGGATCAGAGTTGGATATAGCTTCCATATATCTTCAACCGATTACGGGTTCATTGTGCATCAAATGGTCAATATGAGTCCTAATGACCTGAATTTTGGTACATCTGACCGAATTCAGTGTAGAATAAAGTACATCAAATCGGTTCAGATATAGCTATAGCTCCCATATATATGTTTCATCCAATTTGGTTATTAAGTCCCTCACATGCGTAATATGTACTCCACAACAATGATATTTGGTACCAGATATCTTATAGAGCTCGGATATACCTCTGCCAAATTTTATCAAGATCAAGCTGCGATATATGTCTTAAACCGATTTCGGGTTGGAATCATTTAGCCAAATGGGCAATATCAGTCCAAATTACCTGAATTTTGGCACATCCAACCGAATTCAGTCTAGAAGCAAGTTCACCAAATTTGGAGAAAATCGGTTCCGACATAACTGTAGCTCCCATATATATGTTTCCTCCGATTTGGTGTTAAAGTCCCTCAAATTTTTGTCAAATGTTATCGAGAAAGACTAAGATTTGGATGTAGTTCCCATATATATCCTAAATCCGATTTCAGGTTTATTGTGCAAATAATGGCTAATATCAGCCAAAATGGAGTGAATTTCGGGATGTACCTTTCCATTTTGTGTAACTCGGCTCCGATATCTATTTTTCATATTATCCTTCTCGAGGTGACATTATGCACTCTATAGCAATTTTATTTGGTATAAAAGATTAAAATGTCTCCCTCAAATTTAGTGAAAATCGATTCAGAATATTAGTTCCCTCTGAAACCAAACTATACCTGTTCTAAAGCCAAATGTTAATAGGTGGTATCATGGTACAATGAAGAGAAGGTAGGTCAACTTTGAAAAAATTGCAAGTATTGAGGTCTACCTGTTTGGCTTGTAATGTCAAAATTACTATCAAAACAATAAAAAATCAAACAACTTGTTGCATTTATTTTGAATAAATAATTGAAAACCGCGATAACTGAATGAAAGGTCAACACTTATTTTTAAAATCATGTACTATATATCTCTAAAGGATTATTTCGCTACAAAAACTCTAGATTTTGTCGATGCATACATTGAAATAAACATTTTGAAAACATCCGAATTTGAATATTTTCTGAACAATTTTTTTTGTTATTGAAAAGAAAACACATACTTATACAAATAAAGATGACATATTAAGCCAAAAAAATAAAAAAATTAAAATCATATGGTAGTTCTGCCCTACCTTATATCATTGTACCATGGGTGGTATGATCTGCTTAAAATAAATTCTTTTGTCACGGGAGCTCTTCTAAATATGAATAGTGGTGTAGGGTATCATATAGTCGTCCCGCCCAACTTTTGACTTTTCCTTACAGGTTTTATTTACTCAAGAATTTGAAAAAAAAATAATACTTCGAAAATAAAAAATATTTCCATCCACAGAAACTTCAACCAAAAATGCTGACCCATATACAAAAGGATCAGAAGAATATATTGTTGAAAACGTTGGTTTTAAATTAACGAAAAACGAAATAATCTCACTCTGAGTTTGCGAATATCTGGCACCATTTCAGCAAAAATATTGGTATATACGTGGGAACTTTTCTGGCTACTCGAAGCTTGTACATATTATTTTCACAAAGTTCAAGTAGAATCTATTCTTCAGCGTTTACGAGTTGTTTACTGTTTAAAATTTATATAATTAAAGATACACCTTTTTATTTTTTTTTTGCATCCATATTAGTATTATTTTTTGTACCCTCCACCATACTATGGAGGGTATATTAACTTTGTCATTCCGTTTGTAACTCCTCGAAATACTCATGTCAGACCCAACAAAGTATATATTCTTGATCAGCGTAAAATTCTAAGTCGATCTAGCGATGTCCGTCTGTCTGTCTGTTGTAATCACGCTATCTCTCGAAGGAATTGAAGGCACACATGTTTATTTTGCCAGTAGGCAGGTTATGTTTGTCTGTGCAGGTCCACGTCTTCATATAGCCCCATATAACGGTTCCCCATATAACAGTCTGAAGGTCGAGGTGTTCGTATAGGCCCTATATATAAGTACCTCCTTACATCCGGTATTTTGACGATTTTATGTACAACACTCACCGAAATTGTTTGAGATGTCGAAGAATGGAAGCTACAGCCTGTGACTTCGGTCTTCGTATAGCTCCGATATAACGATACCTCCCTATATACGGTATTTTGATGATTTTAGCTACATTATTCACCGTTTATTTCATGTTTCGAATTTGAATATGGTAATGGCTTATGACAAACAAAGCGTGTATAGGTCCACGTCGTATAGACCCCAATATAACGTCTGTATTCGGTATTTTTAAGATTTTAACAGCATTTTTAACGGATTTTATTTTTTGAAAATGTTCAAAGTCGTTCCAAATGGTGGAGGGTATTCAAAGTTCGGGCCGGCCGAACTTATCGCTTTATGTTTAAAGCTATTTTCAAATGGTAATAAAGGCAGCCGATGACTTAAGCCAGCCAAATAAGTGTTTTATGTATTCCTACCCCAAACTTTACACGAACACAGTTGCCAATTTTGACACATACTGCAATAGTTTCATTTTTGGGAGCAAAAAGCAGTGTTGTATGCCAAAATATTTCGATTTAACATTGGAATATATTGGAATAAATATTGGATAATACATCGAAAATTTGGAAGAATTAAGCACATAAATCGAGATAATGTCCTTAATCATCGTATAAGAATATAGTCTAAATGGCCTTTAAGACGTAATAACCACTTCCACAACACTTGCTTTGTCTGGCCTGAATTCGCTAAACATTGCTGATGACTACTACAATGTCATTACTCCAATTTACCATTAAAATATTAATATCTATTTACGTTTGTTTGTATCTACATATTTGGGTTTATACTAATTTTATTACATGGCAAACATTTAACGATAACAAAAACAACAATAAAGACTAATCTACTAGACAGTGTGGGCAGGTACTGTGGAATGTTCTACCTGCGCTTAATCCAGCCGGCATTCTTGAATATCTTGAATACCATTTCCCGGGGAATTTTTTCTGCTTCGCGATCAATCACTGGCATTTCTTTGTCCGTGAACCACGACTCCTTGGCGAGGGCTGCAGCTATATGAGGGTTGTTGTAGAAGCGATCGCTCTTCTTCAGTTCTGGAGGTAGTTGGGCTTCACGGAATGAATTGTCCACCACCGAAGGATGAGCATATTGTTGCGTAGCCGCTGCGAGACTGTGATATTGTGCCAATCTAGCTGGTTGGGCATAGAAAAATTGAGCACTGCACAGTGTAGCCGAAATTAATAAAAGCAGAATTGATGGTGACATATTTGCACAATCTAAAATGAAAAACATATGATTAACTCCTGAATACATCCTTAAAATTACGTGGAGGAATATTAACATTGCGTGAATGACTGTAAATTACACTGCAAGTCAGTCTTAAGGGTGCGAAACCTTACAATTTCTTATAAAGGAGTAAAAGGAGAAACATAGACACATTGAAACTAGTATGTACTTGTCCTTTATTCAACAGTTATGTTACAATTAGGACCTACATATTTATGATATCTGGTGGAGATCACTACTTTCGAAGTATTTCTATTAGAATTTTCTTGAAATTTCCGGGTTAATTATTTTTCTAATTTTTTTCTTCTAAGACTAGTTAAAAACTAAACCTGAATTTGAATTTTTTTTTTAAAATTTTGAACATTTGTAGGGAGAAGTTACCCGTATATTAAAGTTTGACACCAAATACACAAGCGATGGACGAGTATAACCCATATTTTTATCACGATGCTGACAGATTATCGGTGATTCATTTGACATTTATGAGAATTATGTTTTATTGGAAGCGATTAGTCCCACACATTCACACTAGATCTAATGTAGGTTGAAGTATTCATTGCGTCGTGTGAAGTTAAAGGAAACATCGGTTAACCGTTTTGCAGTTTATGAGAGTTCCAATTATTCAAAATGTTAAGCCTTTGTGGAAGGGGTAACGGTAAACCGATTTCGTCCATTTCCTGTGTAAAGTTGGAACAAAATCGGATGCACCCTTTGTTTCTGCGATGAGATTTTGTTTTCTTAGAAAATGTTGACCAATTGTAGGGGGTATCAGAAAAAGTTATTCGGTCCAAGTTTTTTTCGAAAATGGTTGTTTTTATTTTTCAAAACAGAAAAGGTAACTGAAATGAACAATGGTTGGAGATACTAAAATTCTACAGGAATTTGCTCAAATGGTGAGTAAATATCGAGTTTATCAGGGTATTTGCTTATTTCACTTTAAATACGTCGTTTGACAACCCATTTTTTGGTTTTAGGTACGAAAAGTAATACAAGGAAGTGAATATTGTACCCTAAGTGTTGAACGATCAGGAGAAGCTGGAGCTCTAAATTATTCTATAATAGTTTGCCTATGCTAAATAAAGAGGTACATCAAAAGGTCCAATTCATAGAACAATTGTCATTGATCGATCGGCAAGAGCTAAAGCTCCGACTTTTTGTATGTAGCGTTGGTTACAATGAACATAGGGCAAAACTTCAAAAAGATGCTTTCGCACCGTCTTCATTTTTTTCATGAAACTCTTTACATTATCAAGGACATTGTGTACTAAAAATTCAAATCAAACTCTCCGCCCCATCACGCAACACTGCCTATTAAGTCCTCTTTAAAATGTACAACATTTAGTGAATAGCACATGTCATATATTTCAATTGGAAAACCCAAAATTTCAATAACTAATTTACTATATAGTAAGGTTTTTAAATACCTATCCTCGATAAAAGATTCTGTGCGACAATTGTTCTGTTCCAGAACTGCAAAACTGTACAACTTTTTACTACGATAACAGATTTTCCCCTTATGTTATCTTGCAGTTTCTGGAACAGAACAAATTTCAACTTTACAAACAAACATAGATAATCGAAAACAGTTTAAAAATTGTCAATAAAAAAATTAACCGTTATTAACCCTGGCTGATTTCACACCGTGTATCGGAGTTGTTTCCCACTGTATATCGCTTTGTCTTAAATCACTTTTATTTACAACATGCTATTTCGATCTCAATGCGTTTTTAAAATCATAGAACAAGGTGTTCTATACAAGTTGTTGCAAGTTCAAGTCATCATAGTACAGTATCATCAGATATTGGGGGTTTTACGGTTTAAATAATTTATTACAAGATTACAAAACAGTACTGTATGATGATTTGATGGCGATATTCGAAACCCATCCCTAGCTGTGATTTTTCCAAAAATTACCATTTCTGACTTTTCGCTTCTCTGCCAATTCAATTGAAACAAAACCGAATATTTTTTATTGTTGGAACATTCAGAATCCGATTATTGTGACCTAACCTTAATTTTTTTTTATCATATTCGATACATAAAATATTACATATCATATCAAAAGTAAGTTGGCAGAGAGCTACAACGAGTATGAATAATTCAATCATGCTCGGTCTCTTACACGATTTTTGTTGATGCCGTCGTTTGGTCGTTTTCAAATCGAACAATCAGTTTGAATCACTTTACTCGTAATCAAATATGAACGATTGAGATCGTTTGTTTTTATTTAGCAACAAGTTTCGATTGAACCGTGAATTGCAGAGAGCTATTACAACCGTGGTTGAATGGAGGGTATATTAAGTTTGTCACACCTCCAAATATGCATTTTAGATCCCACAAAGTATATATATTCTTGATCAGCATAAAATTCTATGTCGATTTAACGATGACCGTCCGTCTGTGGAACTCACTCTAGCTTCCAAACGAAATGAAGTAGGTTGATAAAATTTTACTTAAATGAATATTATGTCTGCAGGACTTTTGGTATTGAAAATGGGACACGTTTTGGTATAGCCCTCATATAACGGTACCCCCCGATATTCGGTATTTTGATGATTTTAGCGACATTATTCACCGGAATTGTTTCAAATTTGGTATTTGAAGTTCGTAATGGATACTACAGCCTATGATAGAAAATTGTCTGTGCAGGTCCACATTTTGATATAGCCCCCATATAATAGTACCTAACTTTATTCAATATTTTGATGATTTTAGCTACATTATTCACCGAATTTTTGTTCAAGCTTCGCATTTGAATATTGTAATGGCTTATGACAAAAGTGGCCTACGCAGGTCCACGTCGTCGTATAGACACTAATAAAATGTCTACATTCGGTATTTTTATACCCTCCACCATACATAGTATGGAGGGTATATTAAGTTCGTCATTCCGTTTGTAACTCATCGAAATAATCATTTTAGACCCAACAAAGTATATATATTCTTGATCAGTGTAAAATTCTAAGACGATTTAGCCCTTTCCGTCTGTCCGTCCGTCCGTCTGTCCGTCTGCTGTAATCACGCTACAGTCTAAACACATTAAGATAGGAAGCTAAAATTTTGCACAGATCTCTCTTTTGTCTGCAGGCAGGTCAAGTTCGATGATGGGCTATATCGGTCCACGATATCGTATAGCCCCTATATAACGGTACCCTCCGATATTCGGTATTTTGTAGATGTTGGCCACATTTTTCAATGGAATTGTCTGAAAATTCACACAAGGAGTTCCTTGTGAGTACTTTATACCTCAGCAGAGAATTATCTATATAGGTCCACGATTTCGTATAGCCCCCATATAACGGTATCCCCGATATTCGGTATTTTGATAACTTTACCCACATTTTTCAACGAAATTGTCTTAAAATCCACACAAGGAGTTCCTTGTGAATACTTTACCCCCTGAGAGAGAATTGTCTATATAGGTCCACGATATCGTATATCCCCATATAACGGTACCCCCGATATTCGGTATTTTGATAACTTTACCCACATTTTTCAACGGAATTGTCTGAAAATCCACACAAGGAGTTACTTGTGGGTACTTTTTACCTCAGCAGAGAATTATCTATATATGTCCACGATATCGTATAGCCCCCATATAACGGTACCCCCCGGTATTCGGCATTTTAACGATTTTAGCCACATTTTTCAATGGAAGTGTCTGAAATTCCACAAAAAGAGTCCCTTGTGAGTATTCTACCCTCTGAAAATTCTATATAGGTCCACCATATCGTATATCCCCCATATAACTGTACCCCCCGATATTCGGTGTTTTGTTGATGTTAGCCACGTTTTTCAACGGAATTATCTGAAAATCCATACTAGGAGTTCCTTATTGGTGCTTTATACCTCGGAAGAGAATTATCTATATCGGTCCACGATATCGTATATCCCCCATATGACGGTACCCCCGATATTCGGTATTTTGATAACTTTACCCACATTTTTCAACGGCATTGTCTGGAAATCCACACAAGGAGTTCCATGTGGGTACAGTGTATCTCAGCACAGAATTATCTATATAGGTCCACGATATCGTATATCCCCCATATAACGGTACCCCCCGATATTCGGTATTTTGATGATTTTCCCAAATTTTTTCAACGGAATTGTCTGAAAATCCACACAAGGAGTTCCTTGTGGGTACTTTATACCTCGGAAGAGAATTATCTATATAGGTCCACGATATCGTGTAGCCCCCAAATAACTGTACCTTCGATATTCGGTATTTTGATGATTTTAGCCACATTTACCCCCCGACAGAGTATTCTTTATATAGGTTAATGGTATCGTATAGCACCCATATAACGGTACCCCTGATATTCGGTATTTTGATGATTTTAGCCACATTTTCAAATCGTATTGTCTGAAAATCCACACAAGGAGTACTTTGTGAGCACTTTACCCCCTGAAGGGGAATTGTCTATATAGGCAATATCATATATCCCCCATATAAAGGTACCCCCCGATATTCAGTAATTTGATGATTTTAGACACTTTTTTCGACGGAATTGTCTAAAATTCTACACAAGGAGTTCCTTATGAGTACTTTACACCCAGACATACATTTGTCTTAATAGGTCCACAATAGCATATATACCCCCATATATCGGCACATTCCTATATTAGATATTGTAAAGATTAAAAAAAAAATAATGGATTTTAGTTTTTTGAAAATTTTCTAATTCGTTCCAAATGGTGGAGGGTATTCAAAGTTCGGCCCGGCCGAACTTACTGCTTTTTTACTTGTTAAGATATTAACAGTGTACAAAGAAAAATCAAAACAATCATACTCATCCAAGATGATTGTCCCGTTGTGAATAATTCAACATTAGTTCGTAAACAAATCACTCATGCGAGTTTCGATCAATTTGTGTTTGCTTGCAACTTTTTCGTTTCGTTTGAGTAACTTGAAAATATATGTTACATCTAACCGGCTGATTGTGTTTGATTGGATTTCTGCTAAGTGTGATCAATTCTTTCGAACGAATTGGGATAGAAGGCTAACATTTTGCACACATCAGTCGGTCCACGTTTTCGTATAGCTTCCATATTGTACATCCCGATAGTCGGTATCTATATATATAAATGAAAGTTGTGTTAGTTACTACGCTTATAACTCCAGAACCGCTGATCTGATTTTAACGATTCATACAAATTCGAAATTGTGTCCTCTCCGAAAAGGATAATATCCAAAACAATCGCGTAAAAATGTAATATATTAACATTTTCATTTTGACTTTTGAAATGTACAATAGTAATGTTTTATTTTGCATGATTTTTTTCCATTTTGACTTACTTTTTTCTAATTTACATTTGTAGTGTTTTTATATTTTATTTTTGAATTCAAATATTAATACCAATTTATTTAATTGACTTGATTTCTTGAGAACTGAAATTGATGACTGGTTACATGGAAGTGTAGTACCGAATTATGTAGTGGCGAAACGGAATAGATGATACCGAAATAATTTAATGCGGTCACACCAAAGTTAAAAGATAATTACTATTTCAAAATCATTAAAAAACACGAAAAAAGAGATCTCATTGCAACAATTCCCAAAACGGGAAAATATCGAAAAAAATTTCATTGGTTTTTTTTTAACAAAATAAAGAGTAATTTTTCACTATATACAATTTTTCACCAAAAAAATGAAATAGGTGCGAAATACGATGGTAACTGACATCTACCTTTCAACTCCAGGGCCTACATCGTGCTTCAGCTGGAAGATGCGAAATGCAAAAATTTTTGGGAGTACAATCAGTAAAATACCTTAAATCGCTTTTGCAGGTCATGATATCGATCATAAATAACCATCGTGTGATTTAAGCCATTTTTGGAGTCTTCGCCACTTTCTTCTATTTTTGGCTCTTATTTGGCATCTTTGTTTCTAAGGGGGTAGAGAACCTCTTCGCATAAAATTTTCGGAGTAGGGCCCATATTGGTCTTGACCACTAAAAAATTGTATTTATGCTACCCTGGGGTAAGGAACCATCGTACAGATAATTGCCACATAGAAATTTATTCATGTAAAGTCCCCACATTGGAGTATCCCCAAGTCCACTTTCACATCTAATGTGTGGTCAGAAAAGAAAAATTTGTATTCTATTGAATTTGTAACCCCCAAGAGAATATTGGTTGGGAACGTAAGTTTGGGATGTATATTTATATCAAATAAATTGTAAAAACATGAACAAAATACATATATAAGAAAGTAGCACGGGACCGAATATTTGTTGAATCGTCATTGAATTATACAATGATGATAAATATGGACTTTGGGGGGTCTCCAATTTACAATTTAAATGACAAATAAAATTAGCTCCCATATTACGGTAATGGGTGTAAAATAGTAATTATAATTGACTATTCTGAAATCAGTCTGACCTCAATTATGAGGTGTATAAAACTATTTTTACTTATTTAAATCACGTGATTTTTTTTCAGTATGACATGCTATGTTGTTCTGCTATATTTTCGATTTGGCCTCCATTTGTCATCTTGGATTATAAGGGGTGAAGAAAGTTTTCAATGTAGGTCGATGTTTCGCATTTTACCATATTTCAAAGGATTTGGCTAAAAATGTGTATTTGGGGGTGAAAATCTTACACAAAATTTCAACATATCTACAAATTTTAGGATTTTCTCCATGTAATAGTATCCCCTGAAGTCCACCTTTTGGCGGACAGACAGACCGACATGGTTAGGGGGACTTATGAGGACTGAAATGCACAATCTGAGGTGCTAATGGGTTTAAAAAAGTAATTAACTTTGCCTATTCTTAAATCAATTAGCCCTCAATTATGAGTTGTACAAAGTACAGTAAATTCCAAATTACTGCTCATTTGACTAAAAATTAAAAACTAATCGACCAGTACGTGAACATTTATAACATTCATATCTTTGAATAATTATGCTTTGACAAATATGAATAATAGACAAAAACTACGGGCCGGCAACGCGGACCGGGCCAGCTAGTTTATAATATTTAAATCACATTTTATTCGATATTCGGAATTTTTGAAATATAAGCCACATTTTTAAACGGAAATGTTTAAAACTCGTTTTATATTTTTATGGGTTGAAAAGTTAAAGAAGTTTTAAACAAAAATTATTCTGAAAAAAATTAATCAATCTGTAAAAATCAATTGTTGTTCGTTGGCAATGGAATCAGTTGAGAACGGCTAGACCGATTTGCATAATTTCGATTCATCTAAAATCCTTATATTTGCCAAATAATAAAGATATCGGCTTGAAAATTATTATACGAGATACTGTTGACCTTCCATCCCGTCCTAGGTATTTATTTGGCCGCTTATATATGGCTATGGATAATTTTTTATTTAAATATTCGTTCTACGCCGAGTTAGGTTTTTATTCATAGAAAAAGTGATCACGCCCAATATTACGCCAATTTTTTGATTCACCTAAAATCCTAATATTTGCCAAAATCATTAAGATATCTGTTCCACAGTCAGTATGTGACGTAATTTTGACTCTTCCTCCAAACTTAGGTATCTGTTGAAACAATTCCGGGGAATAATGTCGCTAAAATCATCAAAATACCGAATATTGGGTACCGTCATATGGGGGCTATATGAAAACGTGGACCTACATAGCCCATCTACAAACTTAACCTGCCTACTGGAAAAATAAACATGTGTGCAAAATTTTAGCCTTCTATCTCAATTCGTTCGAAGGATAGCGTGATTACAACAGAAAGACGAACAGACAGACAGACGGACAACGCTAAATCGTCTTAGAAATTTACGCTGATCAAGAATATATATACTTTGTTGGGTTTGACGTGAGTATTTCGAGGAGTTACAAACGGAATGACAAAGTTAATATACCCTCCATAGTATGGTATATGAATAAAAATGTGAGTATATTTAACATTCTCCGTTAGTCTTTCTGTTTGTCGTTGCTGTTTGTTTCAGCCCACATCGTTTAATGAAGTGCTTTGCACGGCACGTCCCCATATTCGGTATTATGATGATTTTATCCAGGTTTTTTAACGGAATTGCTTCAAAGTTGGAGTTTGGGTTCCACAATAGATATGACAGAAAAGTATCTATAGAGGATTTCATTTTTGCATACACCCATATAACAATGCCTCCCAATATTTTCATTCAAGTGTACCAAATGGTGGTGAGATCGAATTTAACAACTCATTTACTCTTTTACCAACCAATCAGTTACAATTTTGATCACGATAACATTACCGGGACGACTTTATTAATGTTCGATGTTAATCCGAATAACGTATGGGTACTTCCTTTTTCCTTGCTCAGGGTATTCATAACAAATTTCCTGAATCAATTTCGCCAACAATTTATTGTTGGACAAAGGACGTTGCCTTACATATTCCACTCAACTTGCTTACGTTAGTCTCTCAGTTATGTGTGAATAGATTAAAGTTTAATGTTCAAGGCCGAGCATACGATATGCATATTATTGTCTTCACATTAACACACACTCGTCCATATGTATTTTAATCAGACATTGTGCATTCGTATGTATGTAGTAGGTAATTGTTTTGTCACTTGTCGTTCACCGATTTTTAATTAAATATCACATTGCACATACATAGGTGTCATAGTTGAGTTCGATTAGATTCAGATGGAATGTCGCCAGTGTATGTACGTACGTATGTAAATTCGATGGTTTTGTCAGACACACCCACCACAACAGTCTCTGGCAAGACTTACTTTTATTTTTGTTATTTGTTTGGCTTTGTTTTGTTTGTGGTTATTCTTTTGTTGTACTTTTTGTTAGCGCTTTGTTTGGCTCGATCTAAGCTCTATCGATTTTCAAGCTAAACGATGCAATTGGTGCTGGAACGAAAACTGAAATTAGAACTGCTCCGTTTCGATCTTTTATGTTGAAATCATTGAATGCCACAAATTTGTACTGAACAATTTACGTACAATGTTAGTGAACACACACTGACTCACCTGTAAATCATACATACATATATACATACACATACATACATTCGAATAATAGGCTTTCGTCTATTATTGTCGTTTGTAGAGCAGAATTATGCTGAGCAAAAACCAGATAATCACCTCTAACCAATGGACAGCACAAGTGAGAACTAGCCACAAAGTCTGTCGACAATGGTTTGAAGTTCTCTCAAATATTATTTGGTTAAACTATTCTGGAGCAACTATTCGGAGACTAGATTAGTCTTGTGTGGTTCTGTTGGATAAAAATAAATCTCTTTTATGTTAAATTTTTGTAATACTGAAAGTCCATTCCGTATAGACTTCTTCAGAAACACAAAATAATTTGATGTCGTTCTGCAAGTCTTGATGATCTCGTGATGAAAGTTGGTAATGGGTACTACAGCCTGTGACAGAAAATTGTGCTGGACCAGGTCTTCGTATAGCCCCCAAAATAACGGTAAATTCCTATATTCGGTATCCTTATTCGTTCCATGTGGTGGAGGACATTTGAACAATTAATACTTTTTACTAGTTGAAAGTACTAGGTTAGTAAAAATGAGCGGAGTGATAATAATCAAAACACGCTGGCTTTTACGACTCCAATCCAAAATCGACAAGACATAGAACCCTGAAAATTTTTGCTGAAGGTCTTTATTTCTATTTAGAAATTATTAAACGTTCAAACTATACAAGAAACATGTGACATCTCGAAATATTGGTCCCCGACATAGGAAAATATATATAGATCTTCCTATCTCACCGAGCTGAGTCGACCTAGCTGTGTAAGTCTGTCCGTTCGTCCGTCTGTCCATGTTAATTTGTAATCACGCTACAGGTCGTAATTATGGCCCGATCCTCACGAAACTGAAATTGGAGGTGGGATTAGGGTTAGGGTCAGAATAGAAGAAGAATGTTTTTGGAGATGATTGCAAAATATTTAGAACTTGAAATGAACAAAAATCTGAAATTTTTCCTGATTTTGCAGTTGCTCTTTAGGCCACAATTATGAACCAGTTTACGCGGAAATACGCATGGAGTTAGAGTTTGGGGCTGGGCAGAATGCCTACCGATTTGGGCGGCCATCGGACAACATTTAGCAGGTAAAAATACCCCAACTTTTATGTAAGAAAATACGACAATTTCCACAAAGCCGCGAATATTTTTACTCCCGGCCCAATCACAAATACAGTTAAAGATTACTTCTGACCATTAAAGTAATGAGAATAGCAAATATATCGGATATATAGCAAAATAGGTACAATATATATGTAGAAGAAATAGATCTTATTTATTCTGCTTATAAGTCAAGAACCGCTGGGGCTATTTTCACAATTACCATCAACTGGGAATGGTCTCTTATCAGAACAGGATACAATCTAAGAAAATTGCAAATGCAAATAAAGAAGTGAATATTTTTGATGCATTTTTTCAATTTTTGTCATATTTTTTATCGCATCTGATTTTTCAATTTGACTTACAATTTTGAATTGTTCATTTTCTAAAGTTTTTCTACACTATGGGTTGAGGGTATTATGTACCGGTTGCAATTATCGTGCGGAGCTCACGAAATTTTGCATGGGGTTAGGGTTAGGATCAAATGGACCAAAACCAGAAAAAAATTTTATATAGTGATATCGATATAATAGGGCAGAAAATTGGCAAATTAACAAAATGAATTTATTTTTACATGTTTTTGAGATTTTTGTTGCCATTTTTTCTACCAATTAATATACATTTAAATTCGCCTTCTCCGAAACACTTAAAATTAACAACACAGTTAAGTGGAGCTTATATCTGAATGTGGACTGGTTAAAATACAACTCATACGGTTGGAAATTGTGCTAATATCAATGAATTACCAAATATTAAAAGGTATTTTTATTTTGTTGAAAATGCTTTTGAAATTTTTAGAGTACTGACTTGCGGCTACACGCAAAAGCGGATCTATATAAAAACAGGCAAGGATGTCACATACTGAAAACATCCAATATCAAATTTAAGCCCATTCGGTCGGAAATTCTGAAAGATCAATTTATAATTGCGAAGATTTGGGAGTTTAGGACATCAGAGAGGCATTAAAAAAGTCAATCGTGAGGTAGACCAAAAACTAGGTGTTTCGAAGAGTTGAATACGGAATGAAAAAGTTATTATACCCTACATTGGGTATATTATAAAAACATCACCTAAAATAGGAAATACCTTACCAACTTTCCGACTGAGCTGTTACTATATGAAAAGTAGCACCTCTGGCAAATTTTTAATTCTTAAAATAGTTTAATATCAGTTTTCTTATTAATGTAGTTTTTTTGCCGGCGAATTAAGATAATTAGGTTCAGCTCAAATGAAATCAGAAACACAATCTCTAACAGGCAAAACTTAAAAATCAGCTCTGACTTTTCTCAGTTGACTTACAAATAACACTGGGAAGCTCTGGTGCACAATACAGTTGGAGTTTGGGAATTATGCATTGAGAGATTAATTCCGGTTGTATGGTTCAACTGCTTTGTTGAAATCGTTTGTACTAGACTAGCTGAACCCGGTGTGCTTCGCTACCCCATTAAATTTTATATGCATTCAAAATTTTATATACGAATATTTGTTGGTTTAAAAATAAAACAATTTCAAAAATTAAACCAGTAATGAAAATCTTAAAGTCGGGCGGGACCGACTTTATGATGCCCTACACCACTTTGCTAATTTAGAAGAGCTCCACATAACAATTAAAAGTTTTTATGGGAAAATTCAATAATACAAGCTATGATTATAATTATACTTTAAAGTTCAAAGGACTAAATATGCCGAAGCATTTGTACCTTTTAAATTCGGACTTGTGTCGCCCATTTGGTGCACAAATAATTTAAAATCGGATAAAAATATATATGGGAGCTATATCCAAATGTGAACCGATCTTGATAAAATTTAGCAAAGATATTTCTGAGCTGTATTTCATATGTTTCCCAGAATATCGTTTTTACGGAGTGCATATTACGGTTGTGTGTAACAAATATAACAAATCGGATGAACAATATGTATGGAAGCTATAGCTATATCAGAACCGATCTTCACCAAGTTTGACATACTAGCTTCTAGACTCAATTCGGTCGTATGTGCCAAATTCCATCCCATTTGGACAACTATTAGACGTTTGGTGCACAATCAAAGGTAAATCGGACGAAGTTATATGTGGGAGCTATATCCAAATCTGAACCGATCTCGACAAAATTTAGCAAATGTATTTCTGAGCTGCATTTGATATATTTCCCCAAATATTGTTGTTACAGAGTGCATATAACGGCTGCGGAGGACTTAAATAACAAATTGGATTAACAATATATATGGGAGCTATAGCTATATCTGAACCGACTTCGATCAAATTTGGCATACTTATTTTCAGGCCTAATTTGGTTGTATGTGCAAAATTCCATACAATTCGGACTGATATTACACGTTTGGTGCACAATAAAAGGTAAATCGGACAAAGATATATATGGGAGCTATATCTAAATTTTGACCGATTATCTCCAATTTCAATAGGGTTCGTCCTTGGGACAAACAAATGATCTGTGCAAAATTTCATCTGGATCGGGCAGTAAATGCGACCTGTACTTTGTTTACAAAAATACATGGACAGACGGACGGACGGACATGCATAAATCGACTCAGAATGTGATTCTATGCAGATCATCAAAAGGAACTATGGGTCTATCTTGTTTCCTTTTGCCTGTTACAAACAAATGCACAAAGACATAATACCCTGACCACCTTGTGGTGTAGGGTATAAAAAAAAGTTATTATACTCGGTCTACCACCACGTGAACATGAGGTACATACCGTGTTTGATGCATCAAATATGTGAAATCGGCCGAGAATATATGTATGGGAGCTTTATCCAAATCTTAACCGATTTCTAATTAATGAACCGATTTCAATATAATTTGACATTTTTATTCTGATCAAATCCCGTTCGTCACTCAAAATTTCATTAAAAAAGAACATACATATCGCGTTGGGTGCATCCAAATCTGTACCGATTTCAATGTAATTTGGTTTTTTTTGTACCAACTTTAGTCACTCATGCCGAGTTTCATTGAAATCAGACATATGTACCGTGTTTCGTGCATTAAATATAAGAAATCGGCCGAAATTATTTATGGAAACTATATCCAAATCTAAACCGATTTCAATATAATATGGCAAATGTGTGTTCGTTTTAAATTCAGTTACACATTTTAATTTTATTGAGATACATAGCGTGTTCGTTGCATCAAATACATGAAATCGGCCGAAAATATATATGGGAGCTATATTCAAATGTAAACCGATTTCAATATAATTTCGCGAATTTATTTTTGTTCCAAATTTGGAGACTCTATCTGTAATCGATAAATAGATATGTGCTTATAAAATCTAAATTCTTGGGAGGTACCTCCGATTCTAATGCTATATCTCCAGTTCCAAATGGAATTTCAAAAGTATATATAGTCTATGTTATTTTCAGGCGATGTTGTAGTATACTTTCAAATTTTCAGAAAAATCTGTGCCTCGGTTTTCGAGCCCATAAATTACAAACAAACATACAAATATTTTCCTCTTTTATAGATATAGAAGATTTGTTTTGCGTCAAAACTATGACGCCAAACACTGTTCAATTATCTTCAATGTCTCGTTGGAGAAGTTAGAGAAGTATATCGGAATACATTTGTTACTCATTTGTTAGGCGTGTGTTTTTTACTTGGATGTAAATATTTATGTTTTTTCGAGTCGTATAAAAAACAAAACATGTTTTCTTTATTGTTCTCTTTCTCTTTTCGAATCGTTAGTTTTGAGATCGCAATGTCTTTTATTGTTATTATTGTTATTTGTTTTCAATGTTAGGCAAGAAAAATAAAAAAAC